TGGAAGAAAATTGGCACGACCTTATATACCAAAGTAATCACTTTGCCAATCACTCTGGTATATATGGTCGTGCCAATTTTCTTGCACATATTGATCTGAGGAAGTGGATCTGGCCCACGAAAGCTCATCACCTAATAAACCATCTTGTTAGTCTTTAAAGTGCTGCATAGTCCTGTCTTTTGTTTCAGCTACACCAGACTAACATGGCTGCATCTCTATCACTATTCTAAGAGCCCTGTTAGCAGTGGAAGTGTTAGTAATACTACTAGACAATATCGACCTCCCATAGTTTGGCAAATTCTCTGGTTCATCGCCGGGTAGGTCCAAAGATGGCGGATGAGAGAGGGTCAACCCGTAACAACATTCTGATCTTGCATCTTACCACTGATGACCAGAGTTAGCTTCACAAAAACACTACACCTCACAGCATTTCAAGGAGACATTTCAGCATTATAACCATTTCACTGTTTTCGTTTGCTTTTGGTTGCTATATGGCCTTCAGATATGACCTGGAAACTGGTATCAGTTATGCTGTGAATGGGATTGCTAATAGAGGACGCTTGGACAGATATATAGTCATGTGAGAAGGTTACTTCTGGCTCACAGGTTAGCACCAAAAATTATGGCTGTGAGGATACTGGTTTGATTTTCAGCCAAAGGCATGTGCAAGAAACACAGAGGAACAGTACACACAATGGAAGAAAAGGATCATCTGACTGATTAGATTGAGTTAGGCTGATTTAGAGTTGCGGAGAAATGTTTTGTAACGAGACTTGGAAATTGGCAAAACTCTCTGAGTTCTCCTATTTGGTTGTGAATCTTTTATGTGAAGCTAAGGGAAGGGAAGCAGCTGCCAGGAAGTGAATTATAACATGGATAAAACTGAGCAAAATGTGGTGCCTTAGGCTTGGTAGGCTGCATTATGCATCAAGCCGTAGGTTCAATAGTCCCTAACTCACAGCAACACCCAGAGGGATGCAAACCAAACCAAACCAAACCAAACCAGAATCTTTGCTGTGTCACTGTGTACACTGTGACTGTAAGGTCCGTAAAACTCTAAACCGGCCAGAAAGTAACCAGTATAATATTAGCTGTAATTAAACAAGTTGTTGTTAATTAGACATTTGAATTACCTTGGGGTTTGTGTTGGCTCAGGCAACTCTAATGCCTAACAAGACTTGGAACATGGCTCTTTACTCCATGTAAGCCTATTAAAACCTTCCTATTTTTCCAAACCCGTAAAACAAACTCCCAAGAGAACACATAAGGCAGCACTGTCGTTGCTGAAATGAGTTGTGGAGCAAGATAAGGATCTATCCAGTCTCAGCAAATATTGTTATGCTGAAGTAAATTACAACCTGCCACATGCATCACTGAATGTACCTCTGTATTTTAAGTAGCCTTTTATCTTCAAGTTTTCTTTTAGAGTATGAGGTTTTCTTTTCAAAGAGATATTATTCCCGATTATAAACACTTATACAGACAGACCACAGAAAGGCAGGCGATGGCTAAGAAACAGTCTCAAACAAGGTGTGTGACTGTGAGATAACATATTGTCTCAGGGGCATACTGCTGTATGCCGCCAGCGACCTCGGAAATGGGTTATCATTCAAAAACACAAGCGGCGCAGCGTCTTTGCAATTATAAAGCAGCCGCAACAAAACCCAACGGCAAATACAAAACAAGTCTTTACATACAAGTATAGTGTGAATGCCAATGAAAAAAAGTTTCAAAACTGAAACTCCCTCAGCATTTGCCTTTAGGGGAGGAGTTTGCAGGACATTTGAGTTTTTGACTGGTTTTCTAAATCAGGTATACACATTAAGAACTGGTACATTTGATATAGCTCTGTAAAACACTTGTACAATTTGTCGTTTGCCATGTTTATTGTATATCTTGCCATGTAGCGATACTAGGATGGAGAAAAATCGAATGTGCCTTAAAAAAAATCAGTCAGAAGGCTGAGTTAAAGATGCATGAATGCTTGAACTGTGTGTTTCTTATCTCGGCACGCTGGAATTTCTGTTAAATGTAATAGTACTCTCAATTTCCCAGGGTTGTTGCACTTGATTTTAGGATAATTAAAACATTCATGTAATGTCAACTGTTAAATTACTGAGATATACTCTCAAACTTAACTCCATCTTAATGTAGGGTTGCAGGGGTTGTCTGGTTTTGGGTGGGTTTTTTTTTTCCTTTGTATTTTATACAGACATACACATACACACCAAACTCCAAAATATGAAAACCAGGAAACAGAACCCTAACTTTTCAAAGGCCACTGGCAATTTTAGGTTCCTCACTTTGGGGGTTCTATGCCTGAAAGAGTGCTGACTTTTTAAAAGTTCAGAGCATCGGCTCTGTGAAAATCAGGCTCCTTGCAGGTATCTGAAGTTAGGCACCCGGATCTTGAGGTTAGTGTTAAAGCCATATATCTACAAGTCACCTTCTCATACAGTTCCTCAGAAATGCAGCTGCCTATTCCTTTAACAAACCAGCTCTACACAACTACAAAGTCATACCCAGATAACATTATCTCTGCCCTCTGTTTACTCTTAGGATTCCCGTAGAAGTGTTGACTATAACCTGTAGTTTGGAATGTGGAATTATTTCCCTCTCGGCACCTTACTCCTTTTCTAATATCCATTTGTTGTCATATTAGACGAGTAGCTCCTAAGATTTTATTCCTGCTCTGAGTAACTATCTTCTATCACTGAGGCTTCTTGCATCGTGATTTGTAGAGCTCAGCTACATATGTTGCTTTGTATAATTAATTATTATTATTTTGGCATCTTGTGGGAGGGCAGAGTGAAGGTTATACAGCTTACCTTTGCGACTCCGACTGAGCAATGCTGCAAAGCTCTGTGATGTAAATTGGAGTGCTTTGACAAAGCAGCAAAAATGTGAAACAAGCCAACTGTTTCTAAAGCTCTTAAGGGCACCAAAGGTAACCAAACTCAGTCTCTCTCTCTCTCTCTCTCTCTCTCTCTTTCTCTCTCATGCTCTGGTTCCTACCCAGCCTCTGACCTGCCTGAGTTAGCCCCATCTTCTTCTGGGCAGATGCTGATGAAGATGGCGCCTTTTAATCTCAGCAGCAGACAAAGAAGGAGAGTTATTTAATTTTGTATTCTCATTGCCAGCTGCAGTCTCTGCTATTCAAGGGAGCGATGTTTTTTAAAAAGGATTCGTTTCATTGTCCTATTCCTTTCAGAAGTGTCTCTCGAGCTTCCCAACAGCATTTGTTACAATATTAGCTTCTCTGCTGCATACTGAGTGGCTGGTAGAGATTGTTTAGCCACATACTTCTTTGCACATGCCAGGCACTATTGAAGATAAATAATGAATACACATGGGTGCACCTTTAACTCACTCTCTGTTCAGTCAATGCAGTGGAACTTGCGGGGGGTGCATGCAGGATTTCATTCCGATATTTTCAAATATCGTTTTCCCCTGTAAAGTAGAGGCTATGCCACAGCCTGCAAACACAAATCACCTTCACCTTTCTTTAGAGGTCACAAGAGGAGCGAAATGCCCTGCTTGTGTAAATCACCAATGAGTGTTACTGTCTTCTATCAGCTGAGGAGCTGAGCACATTTCCTCCCTGCCCACTGGCAATTATTATAACTCATCAGTTTTCTATGGTGCTTATTCTTGCAGGGCCTATTTGTGCAGATTTGAGATGCTTACTTTATTCCAGTTTTATCTTGTCACGCAGTAAGTGCAACCTCCCTGCCTTCTTTGGAACAGAAAATCAGCTGTCATCCCCCGAGTGCTTCACTTCCAGTTGTAATGTATCGCAGGATGTAGAGCCCACAATTTTTTTTACTATGTCAGCATATACAACAGAAATGGGAAGGGGGGGGGATGATGATGATTTAACCCTCTGTGGGTCTTCATTAAGTTTTTACAAAATAAATATATTTTTTTAGACTGAACATGATTTGGTGGTTTGCTATTTTTGTAATTTGTGTAAATAGAATCAGGATGGAGGAATAATTTGGACTTTGAAAATACCACCACAGAACTCCCATTAAAAATCCAAAGAGACTCAGGATCTCAAAGGCAGGAAGAGAACGTGCATCACCAGAAATTGTAAACAGACTGGTTCAATATATAGGACACAGGAGACCTAAGTAGTAAATGGCTTGATAGCGGAAACGGAGGGAGGGGCACTTGTCAAACGAAGACAGTGATGAGAGCTATCGAGCCATTTACTACTAACCTAGCCTCTAGTCCCTGATCTGCTGCATAGCCATAGGCAAGTCGCTTACTCTCTCTGTTGGCTCTTCTACTGTTTGCCTGTGTATTTCTTACAACACCACCTAGCTCTTAAGCAGTACTTTTCACCCAGAAGTCTCCCACTGCTCTGCAAATGGAGATCAGTGCCATTGTCCCCAATTCACAGATGGGAAAACTGAGGTGCAGAGTGGTGACATGGCTTTCTTAAGCTCACTCTCTAGGCCAGGGGGAGAGCCAGTTGCAGAACTCCAGAGTTCCAGTTTGGTGATCAGTGCATGAGACCACGCTACCACATCGCAAGGCTCAGATCCATAAAGGTATTTCAGAGCCTAACCCCCATTGAAATCAACAGATGTCAGGGCCCAAATACTTTTGAGCATCTGAACTTGATCTTTTGCAGCAGGGACTGTCTCTTACAATGTGTTTGATAATGACTACAGTAATAGTAACTATTCATTAATGCTCTTTGGTCTCCTTTCAAGCCACTGAGATAGTTTCTGTTTTTCTCCCGCAATACAGGCTGCTTTGCAAATTCATTCAGAAGTCTAATATGACATTTGATTTTGGTTCTGCATCTACCACAACAGCTTGCAGAATGGCCTCTGAGTAATGAGAGGGTAGAATTGTATGCTTAATAGCACCTGATCTTCCAACGCATGCAGCTCTTCATCCCAAAGCCACTGTTCTCCTTTCATATTGAACCTCTGTGCCCTGCAGGAATCAACTGTTTTTAGTTTCTTAAAGAGGTCTGCCCTTCTTACCTTCATCACTGTTGTCATCCACAAGTATGATCTCTTTCAGGAGGTGGGCTGGAGTGTGATTGACGGCACTGTGCACTGAGCGCAGAATCACCGATAACGCTTCGTTCACGAAGATGAAAATAATGGAAATCTGGGGCAGATTCTTTGCATATTTCAGCTCTTTGCACCTGCAGCAAGAAAAGACACAAAAGGCACGTGGGTTAACAGGACACATTCTGGGGTGTGGCCGTGTTAGAAGTAGAGCACACATGTAAAGGGCAAGTTATCAGACTTTGCAAGAGTGTAAAGGAGCACATTCTTGCGGAGCTCATGTATTACCTACGCCTTGCTGAAAAGGGGCAGGGCGGAAGGAGACTTCGCACCTTCTGATTGGCCTGGAGGTGGGGTGAGTGCTCAAAGTCTTCTCCCGCCCTGCAAGGTGCTTCTAAGCACTGCACACTCCTTGCAGGATGGGGGAAGGGTGGGAGGAGACTCCACATGCTCCCCCACCCCAAGCCCTGACTGGCCTGCAGGGATGTGTGCAAAGTCTCCTCCTACCACCAGGGCACAGGCACCTTGAGGGAACCACCAGCTGTTCAGAATAACTGGTGGTTCTCTTTGTGGGGGGAGACAAAGACTTCAAATGCTCCTCCACCCCCTGACCAATCAGGATCTGTGGGCAAGGAAGCACAGAAGTGTCCTGGCCCCGCCCCTTCCACCTGAGGTCCCGCCCTTTCTGAGGTGGCCTCAGACCACTTTAAACATTTCTGAAGTGGTCCCCGGTCAAAAATTATCGCCCACCCTTAACCTATGCTCTACATGACAAGCCCCTAGGAACACAGAAATTGCCACATTAGATTGGACCCATGGTCCATGTGTCTAGTGTCCTAGCTCCAAATATAGCCAGCACCACTGGGGAAAATTTCCCACTAAGGAACCTCAGGGAATATGACTGTCTAAGGCCATGTCTACACTAGGGGTGCATTTATACAGCACCTGAAACTATAAATAAGCTGCGCAATTCGCGCTATGCAAACTGCGTCGCTTATTTCAAGTCTATTTCGAAATAGCTTATTTCATCATTTGGGTGCTGTCTACACAGTGCCAAATTCTGAGCCATCCCTTACTTCTCGTAGAATGAGGTTTACAGGGATGGTGAAAAGAGCCAGGATGGCCTCAGACCGTCCCTTGTGGCTAGGGGTGGGGAGAAGAGCCGGGACCACCTCAGGCCCTCCCAGGCAGCATGGGGTGGGGAGAAGAAACAGGGCCGGGGTGGCCTAGGACCCTCCCCAGCGACCAGGAGGGTTGGGGGGCCAGGGCTACCCCAGGACCTCCCCAGTAGAGAGGTCAGCGGAGAAAGTCTATTAACGTGGACTCAAAGCCCCAGGAAGCCCTCGGTGGAGCTGTGGGAGGCCTCCCACAACCAATTAGTTCGAATGAGCGGCACTGGAGCACAAGAACGTTATTTCAGGCTCACAATAGCATTATTCCTCATTAAAAGCAGGACTACAGGCCTGGTTTACAATAGGGCCTTTAGTCCAAAATAACCCCCACAAGTTTGAATTTGTAAGTAGTGCATCCACACTACCAAGCCGGTTATTCTGGGATAAGGGGCCACAGAATTCGAACTCTCTACTCCCCTTGGACCAGCCCTGGCCCAGACCTTCCTGGCCACTGGGGGGAGAGCCAGGCCCTGCATGGCCTTGGCCAGGCTCCCCTCTCCTGATGGCTGGGGTGAGGACAGATAAGAGCCAGGGAGCCCAAAAGCCGGGGCTGGCCGGGAGTGGAGGGGGGAGTCAAAGAGCCAGGATGGCCTCAGACCGTCCCTTGTGGCTAGGGGTGGGGAGAAGAGCCGGGACCACCTCAGGCCCTCCCAGGCAGCATGGGGTGGGGAGAAGAAACAGGGCCGGGGTGGCCTAGGACCCTCCCCAGCGACCAGGAGGGTTGGGGGGCCAGGGCTACCCCAGGACCTCCCCAGTAGAGAGGTCAGCGGAGAAAAGTCAGGGCCAGGGTGGCCTTGAACCCTCAACGGCGATGGGGGGGGAGAGAGAAGAGCCTTACCCCCAGGCCCTCCCTGGCAGAGAGGGGGTAGGCAAGCATAGCAAGCAGAGGGCACAGCCCCCTAGTAATTTTATAAACATTATCATTGAAAGTAAAGCTACCATTCCGACCTAGTGTTACCATAAAGGGATGCTCAGAAATTTGCCTTTTTCTTAAGCTGCTGCACTAGTGTGTTTCTTTCTGTTTGGTTTTTGGGATTTGCCAGAAGGAAAAGAATTTAGTGACCTACGGCCAAACAGCTTTAGCAAATGTTTGCAATGCTTCTGGCTGGCTTTCCTGTGCGTTTTCTCTTCCCCGGGAACATTCGACTCAAGTGTCAACTTGAACTGGCGTCTCTGCACTTCACATCTGCACGTGAGTTTTTATGCAGTTCCAGAAGTACCTCGCAGTGTTTCAGAACTGACTGTTCCAAATGAGCTTTGCTTTTATGGCTGGATTTTTATTTAGCTACTTTTCTCTGTGCTGGAGCTGGGAGGTTTTCACTCTGCAGCCAAGTTCTTTACTGACAATCTGCAGGTTTATGTTACATGAACAGACAGACCTGAGTTTGGGAACGGGAGCATGAAGAACAGGATTAAAGTAGTTAGAAATGGAAGAGACCTTTCAGATAATTAAATCTGTTTCCCTGCAAGGCCAGCATATAGTGTCCCACTGAGATGTAGCAGGTATTAAATTAATGCTGCCTTTGATCCTAACCAATCTTAATACATTTATTACAGGATGTGAACAGGTGATCATCTACAAGACCATTATAGATTACAAAGGAGATACAAATATTTAGAATATCATGTATGCCCCTTCATGCTTTGGTCACCATTCCAAAGGACGTGCTTCCATTTGTGACTTAACTCCTTGGAGAACAATTTCTGTTATACCCACATTCTGCTATATATTTCAAGTTATAGTAGTCTCGGATATGTTATTCATTTAAAGAATACTTTCACCGAAGATTTGACCACACACAAATAAGGTACTAATGTAAGATTTCTAAAAGAAAGCTACTGTACTCAACCCAAGGTTTTCAGAATCTAAAGTGACTTCCAAAATCTGAGAAGGAAGGTATGTGGATCATGCTTTCAGAAGTCTTAGTAAAGCAACACTCCAATGAGAAAATTATAGAACCTGAACCACCAGATAAGAAAACCAACCATCTGCTCTTAGGGTATCTGATTCATATTATGAAAATCAACACACATCTTTCAGCACTACTTTGATTTGGTATCGAACTGAATTGTCATCACCATGTCTTCTGGAACGGTGACTGAAGTGTTAAGGGGCATATAAATCTTTAGCACATCTAGCATGTAAATATCATGTAATGACAGCAACAAGAGTGCCATGTGAATGCTTGTTCTCATTTTCAGGTGACATTGTAAACAAACTTGTTTGTCTGAGTGATTGGCTGAACAAAAAGTAGGACTGAGTGGACTTGAGGGCTCTAAAGTGTTTCATTGTTTTGTTTTTGAATGCATGTATTTTGTACATAATTCTACATTTGTAAGTTCAACTTTCATGATAAATAGGGTACATGTAGTAGGTGAATTAAACAATACTATTCCTTTTGATTTTTTTAAACTGCAAATATTTTCAATAAAAATAAATAAAAAAATGGGCAAGATACACTTTGTATTCTGTGTTGTAACTGAAATCAATATATTTGAAAATGTATACCAAAGGTATACCATGTATACCATTGAAATGTACCATCCAAAATATTTAAATAAAGAGTGTTCTATTATTTGTAACTTGATTAATGGCAATATTTTTCATTCACGTAGAAAACATCCAAAAATATTTAAATAAATGGTTTTCTATTATTTTAACTTAATTAATCGTGATTTTTAATTGCATAATTAAGCATGATTAATGTTGTTAATCACTTGATAGCCCTACTAATAAGGTCTCAAGCCTTCAGAACCTCTCAATAGCTAAAGTCCCCTGTCCTCTGTCTTTCTGTAACCCTCTAGAAATGGCTTGAACCTTGTTTGGAGGATTCTGTCACCCCAGAAGAGAGAGCCTGGGACATGAATTCTGCCCTTGTGAACTATGCAGGATGGCTCACTATCAGGGCTATGAGCATTTTGGGATAAAATGACACCTGACCTATGCTGCTGTGCAAAACAACCCAAAGCAAACTCCACCAGTGAGTTAAAAGTTCAGCTAACAAGTTTTAATTCCCCAGGCTCCTACCGGGAACCTTAATGCTGTATTACTGTGGGTCAGATTTTAAAAAGCACTCAGTGTGTTGGGAGTATTCTGGGGGCTACACTCTCTCAACAATGTGTCCGGAAGCATCATAATGGGAATGGGAATGGGGGAAGAGGTGTTGAAGATCTAGCCAATCATTTCGACATACCGGAAGGCTTTATAAATGCATACTCACCGAGACTAGATATAGTGACTATGTGACTACGTTAGGTAACTTCATCAAACCGTCCTGCTTTCTTTATAATAAATGGGTGAAGAAAAATACGAAAAAGAAAAGGACTATGCCAGTCTATGCCAAGGGTCATTCTCATTACCACGCACAAGAGCTTAGATGGAGAACACCCACTGACATCAGCAGCCAGAGCTGGCCCTTGGGTATGGCGAATCGGGGGGAAGCACCAGATCTCCTGCTTTGGTGGGCCCCGCGCTTCAGTGGGCGTGTGTCATGAGGGGGGCGTTAGGCCAGCCCAAAGGACTGTGATTAAGGGTGCCTGGGGGCCACGGTGCACCTGAGGATTTAGTGAGGGCCTGGCGCCGGCAGTGGAGGCCAGGCCTATACTCACCAGTGGGGAATACGTGTCACGTTTCTATTTCTTGTTTGGCATCGTAGGGCTCAAGTTCAGTCTCTGGCAGCAGCATTCCCAGCCCACCCTATCTCACCAGCTCCAGGCCTCACCCATCATCACACTAGCTACCAGCATCCTACTGCTGCTCTGCACGGGTACCACCCTGTGACTTTCCATCGTCCCTCACCCCTCAGCCCTGGGGTCCTCGCCGCACAATACATTTCTCCTGTATAAAAATGTTAAGGGGGGCTCATGCAGGCTCATTCTGCCTTCACACTGCACCCCCCTAGGCACAGATTCCCTGCTTCCACCATTAGAATGAGTATTTATTTATCCAATGAATCCTGCAGAGC